TGTGTGTGTGTGTGTGTGTGTGTGTGTGTGTGTGTGTGTGTGTGTGTATACACATATATATAGTCACAAAAAAGGAGCCTATAGATAGGGAAAGTTTGAAGTTTAATGAAAGACAAGACACAACACCCATTATTGTTACAAACACTAGAGAGAATCACAGAGAAGCAAATAAAAAACTAACAAACAATTAATAACTCAGTGAAGTTGCAGAATGTAAGATAAAACCCATACAAATCACCAGTATTTCTGTATATTACCAACAAAATCCATAAAAAAAAAAAAGAAATTCCATTTAAAATAAATACAGATAGTATAAAACTCTTGGGAATCTGCCCGCCAAGAAACATACACGAACTATATGAACACAGTTATGAAAAATAAAGATAGATATAATAAGTAACTGGAGAAGAATAATTGCTCATGGGCAATCCAAGTCAATATAGTAAAAATGACAAAACTATCTAAATTAATTTATATATTGAGTGTTACACCAATCAAATTACAAAGGAATACCTTACAGAGTTAGAAAAAAAATAATTTAAAAAGCTCATCTAGAGGGTAAAAGGTCAAGAATATCATGGATATTGTTGGAAAAAGTGAGAAAGAAGGAGGCCAAGTAGTATCAAATCTCAAACTATACTATAATGTCACAATCATCAAATAATTTGGTACTGGCTAAGATACAGAACAGCTGATCAATAAAACAGATTAGGAATATAATATATAGAAATAAACAAGCATAGTAACCTAGTGTTTGATAAATCTAAAGATCCTCGTTATTAGAACAAGAATGTACTATTTGACAAAAACTGATGGGAAAACTAGAAAATAGCCTTGCAGAAACTATGTACAGACCAACATTTCACACCATATACCAAGACAAGGTGCAAATAGGTACAAGATTTAGAAACATCACAAACAACTTAGAAAGCATGGAAGAAATGACCTGTCAGATATATGAATAACCAGATATATGGATGACCAAATCAAGAGTCAGGGACTTTCACGGAAACCAAAATAGAAAATTTTGATTTTGTTGTTGTTCAGTCATTTTTCAGTTGCGCCCAACTCTTTGTGACCCCATTTGGGGTATTCTTGGCAAAGATACTGGAATGGTTTGTCATCTTCTCCAGTTTATTTTACAAATGAGGCAAGTGAGGCACACAGAGTTAAGTGACTTGCCCACACAGCTAGGAAGTGTCTGGGGCCAAATCTGTACTCAGGAAGAGGACTGTTCCTGACTCTAGGCCTGGCACTCTATCTAGTGTGTCAACTAACTGCCCCCAAATGTTGACTATATAAATTTGAAAGTTTGTGCACAAGCACAAAGTCATCCTGACTCTGAGACTGGCTCTCTCTATCCACTATGTTACATAGGTACTACATGTATGTGTATGTATAATATCATACTCACACATGTCCTGCATAATACTGTAAGAAATACTAAAGAAAACAAACGATACATTTTCTATCATGGATGAGTTTATAAAATTAGTTAAGACCATGAGATTCATATACATACATACATACATACATGCATAAATACAAATATGAGTTAAAATAACTTTCTAGACAACATATGTTTAAGCGTAAAATAACACAGATAAGTGCTATGGGAATACAAAGTAGTCAAAGGCAGCTTCAAGAGAAAGATCAACTGCATTTTAGGGGAAATTAATCTAGAAGTGGTATACAAACAAGAAGAGACAGAGAGGCTTTGCAACAGCCCATGATGTTCTATATTATAATTATAATGGAATCTGTGCTCCACATGGAATTTATAATTAATATACCACATTGCTGCATCAGAAATAAAAAGTAATTAAAATCTATTTTTCATTATACTTTTGTATACCTTTAAAGAACTAACATTTCCTTGGATAACTACAGCTCGAATCAGGGTACTGACTACAGTATTATTATATTGCAAGATTCTAAGGCTGTGAATAGTTTTTTATTGTTTATTGCTTCCCCTAGAAGACCCTGACTGCAGTTAGTCAAAAGGTAATCACTATGAAAGATGGACCTTGCTATACTACCTAGTTTTACCCCTCTGTAGATAGCTCTTAGCTGCCACCAGAGTTGCTCCTCAATGGGCGTCTTTTTCAAAGACCATCATGGCTCATGGATCACATTTTTTACAGTATGAGGTTCTCTCCCCAAACATTGATAATAAAAAATCAATTGTCTTAAATACACAAACTATTATGATGTAAAAAGAATCTTAGGGTATATTATATACTATGTATGAGATAGCTAAGTTACAAGTACATTGCTTTAAGCTACTCAATTCAGTTTGTGAGTTCACCAAAAATAAAATAAAATTTAAAAAAAAAAAAAAAACCACACCAGATTTTTATTGTCAATTCTAGTTACTTTTAAACTCTAATCCAAGGTCAAAACCATACCAGGCTCACTTGATCACTGCTGAAAAAAGAGCCCTTTACATTCAGGCCTCAAGTTTACCCCTCCATTCTAAAAAGAAATTGTTCTTTGTCCAAACACCCAAACCCTGAACTAACTTCAGTCTTTCTAGGGAAAGAGTCCCTAGGAAGCCCCTATTCTTACTTTCTCAACCTTTGGAGGCCATACACTAAAACGTTCTTATTTTTGTTACGCTCAAAAATTATCTCCTCTCCTACCCAATTTCTAAATGCAGTTTCCTGTTCATTCACATTTCCTGTTTACCCTGTGTTTATTCTGTATTTCCATTCAATGTATCATCATATAGCACCTCATTCTAAGTTCCCACCAACTTCCTTAGAGAGTTGCCTATCTAGGCATCACACATAAACATATGTTCTGAGCTGTAAAGTCAAGGAAGAAAAGGCAGAATCTACAGATTAAGTGAAATGAACTGATGCAACTGTGAATTTCACTTCATTACATTCAACTCAACTCTGTTAAGTGCTAGAGATACAAAGCCAGATTTCCCCTAACCTCGCTCTCCCTTCAAAGATAACAAGAAAACTTCTCAGAAGATCCTGGAACTGACTCATGTATCAGCTCTTTTAACGTTTCCCACATCAAGAGCTCAATCCGGAATAGAAAAGACAAATGAGTGTTCAAAGATTTCCTGGATCTATCACAGTACTTAAGTATAAGACAATGCTGAGTATCTTATGCTGCTTTCCATTACAAAAGAAAAGTGAAACAAATTTTAGCAATAGTAATTCAACAAATAACCTCCCTCCCACAAGACAATTTAAGACAATCACTTACTTACATATTGTACAATGCACATAACTACAGGGCTGCTCACAAAAATGAGTACAGTAATTTTCAACTACAGCATAATACAGCTAAGATTATTTTTAAGGATCTAGGTTAAAAACCGAAATAATGCAATTTGACAAAATCAACTTACCAAATATATTAGTGGAATGTCCTTTCATAGCAATGGGTTTAAGTTCATTGTGTCCCCAGCCATATTTCCTATAATTACTCCAGGCATGTTTCATCATCTGAAGAGACAAAAATTTCAATACATCACTCTAGATATCCATAGCACATTTTTTCTAAAAGGTTTGTAACCACCTGGAAGTTTTGTTTCTATTTCCTTAATTTCTATTTCCAATTTCCTTTTTATTCTATCATGATGTTATCAGTTAAAAGTACGATACTAAAACAGAACTCCCATGAGTCAAAATTGTTCATCATTGGAAAGAACAACATACAGAATTCTACACAATCCATTTTCAAAGTATGCCCATTAAGGGTATACCATCATAGTGGACTATAATTCTAATTCACTTATCACTCAGGTTACACATTTCAATATCCAAAGTATATAATACTATTCCAAATTTACACTTACAAAATAAATTTAGTTATATTATAATGTTACATTTTATATACAAAGATGATGTAACTTGCCATCAAGAAAGCATGCATTGCAAATTATTTTTCCAGTATTTTGTGGATTTATTTTGATATCTCCAGATTCACTATCCTATGTCTGCAATTGTATTTCACACTGTTCTACTCCATGAACTCTACCCTACACAAAAAGGACTTTTCTCTGACTCCCAAAATGACTCACCCTTTCCTGCTTTCAAGCTTTTGCACACACGGCTTCCTGCATCTGGAGTGTATTCCTCCCTCCCTCATTTTGCCTATTCAATTCCTATCCAACCATTAAAGTCCAATTCAAATCCCACCACCTCCATGAAGTTTTCTTAATCCTTTTTTCCCCTGGTTAACAACCATGTCTGATCCCCCTTAGGATACAATTCCCCCCAGCACTTTACTTTGTACCACTTCAACACACTTACCATGCAATACTGTGTATTACAAATAGCTGCTCTTATGTCTTGTCCTTCCATTCAACCTAGAGTTCTAAGAGAACCAGAACCTTCTCTTTTCTAAACTTTGTATAGAAGGTTTAGCATAGAGTTCTCCAAAGAGTAGGTGATTAATAAATATTTGTGAAGCTGAACTGGCCATCATACCCACTTCTACACTTTCCATTACCAATTGCATGCAGATGATTCTTAAAGGTTTACCTCCAAACCTAATGTTTCCATAAAGTTCCAGGCCCACCTCCCCAATTGTTTGCTAGATATTTCTTTTTGTACTTCAATAGTTCTGTGGTTCAATAATCTCACTGATATTAGTACTCGCATCAAACATGCAGACCACAAACCATCCATGATTTCTTATCCTATGTGACCTACCCCGGAAAGGAGAAATACAAATGAACCACAAACCCTGATACAGAGGCATGATACCGTACCAATCGGAAACTTCAATTATCCAGTATCTGTGAAGAGTCCTCTCTCTGCCAAAAGTAGCAGAGCAACAAATAAACTCCAGACTTGCCTTAATAATAATTTCACTCTATAAAAAGCAAAAGAATCAGCAAAGCTACTATTCTACAACTCACGACTAACAAAAAAAACAATTAGTTGCTACAGTAAAAATAATAAGAACTTTGAGATAAAATGAACACCAAATTTTAGAACACACATGAGAGAAAGAAGGAAAACTGCACAGCCTGAAAAACTTAGTATTTCAAAATAGATATCAGTGTTTAGAAAAGACAGGGAGTATTTCATGATTTTAAAACAGGAGTACAAAAACCCCTTAAGGATGGGTATCTCTTAAGAATTTAAAATTCTGTGTCTAAACAGTGCAAAAAAAAAAAATATATTCTGAGGAAGAAACAAGAATATTACCCAAAAGATAAGATAGATATACAGGGAATTAACAAAATCAGATAATTCTAAAAAGATATTAAGGTCAGAAGGAAGGACAGGTAATCATCATTTCAAACATGGATTACCTTTTTTTATTATTTACTTATTTATGACAACCATTTTTAAAAATTTTGAGTTTTAAATTCTCAACTTCTTATGGCTTCTCTCCCTCACTCACTGAGAAGGCAAGCAATATATCAATTATACATGTGGTCATGCAAACATAATTCCATTAGCAATGTTGCCCCAAAAGAGGGTGGGGGAGAGAAGGAAAAAAAAAAAATGAAAAGTATACTTCAATCTACACTTAGAAATCATTAGTTCTCTCTCTCTAGGAGTGAATAGCCTTTTTCATCATGAGTCCTTCAGAATTGTCTTAGATCATTCTTGATCATTGTAGTTAAGTCTTTCACAGTCAATCTGGCCAGACTTTAGTCTGTGGAGGGGAGTAATAAGCCTGGACAGGGATCAGAGCCAGATAGTAAAAGACTTAATCCTGTACAGACCTTTGATCCAAGAACCAAGAAGGTCACTTTTTGGAGGAAAGGATTTATGATTAACCAAGTCAAGCTTGTATTTTAAGAACATCAATTTGGCAGCAACAGAGATAATCAAGCTATTGCAATAATCTAAGTGAGAGTTTAGGAAGCAAACAAGACAGGTACCAAGAGAAACAAGAGAGTATCCAAAAGGAAAGGGTCATCATCAGTGTCAAATGCTAATAAGTTGAGAAATGTGGGAAATTCAGAAAAAGTAATCAAATTTGACAGTTAAGAGATTATTGAGTATTTTCTCAGGGAGGAGTTAAGAAGCCAAATTGCAATGAAAGGACAGAAAGTGGAGACAAGGAGAGCAGACAGCTTTTTCTAGGACTTTGGCTGTGTGAGGGAAGAGAGACATGAGCAGACAGCTTACAAAAATGATTAGGTTATTATTAGGGTGTTTTAAGGACAGATAAGACCTGGAGGCATTTCTAGGCACCTAGGAAGGAATCAACACATAGGGAATAAATAAAAATTTGAGAAAAAGAAAATGATTCCAAGGACAATCTAGTATAAAAAGTAGGAGAGGATAGATATGGGGGTGGAGAGTTAGCCTTGGCAAAGAGAAGGGCCCCATCCTTCATCATACACCCGTCATCACCCAAAATACAGAAGAAGAAAACGGGGGACTATGTCAAGACGTTTGGGGATATAGCAAAAGGAGGTAATTTTTCAGAAGAAGTCTGGGCCGAATGGCCTCTTATTTTCTCAGGAATGCTAAATGAAGATTTTCTTCCAAGAAGCTGGGCAGAGAGAGTGGTGGGGGAGACTTGAAGAGAAAAAGTTCAGAAAAACTGGGTAGTGTGATGGAGCTGTATAAAGACTGTCTTGCAGTTAGGGCCCAGCTGAGATTACCTAGTTCAGATCTGCAGTGTCCCCAGTCAGAGTGGAGCAGCTGGGGGGGAGGCACACACAGAGTGCTAGCATTTGAGTCAAATCCTTTAAGTTCAAATCCTCCTTCAGCCACTTAGAGCTGTGTGCCCTAGGGCTAGTCAGGAGGCCTCAAAGCCACAGTTTACCCATGTATGAAAATGGAGAAAGTAATTGTTCCTTACATTATATAACATGTAAAATGCTTTGCAAATCTTAAAGTGCTATGTAAATGTTAGCTATTATTAGAATTCAGAAAGGTAAGTAGCCCAGTGAATAGAGTACTAGGCTGGAAGTTAGGAAGACTCATCTTTCTGAGTTCAAATCTGGCCTCAGACACTTAGCTGTGGGATCCTGAGCAAGTCACTTGCTTCCCAAAAAAGAAAAACAGGAAAGCAGGTGAAGTATACAAACTATGAGAATCCCAAACTTATTTGGCCTACTGTCTCCTTTAAAAAAATATTCAGTGGCCCCCTAGAAAGCCACTTCCTTTAATGGTTTTTTTGGGAGGGGATGGGGGGAAGTCACATCATTTTAAACTACTACCATCACTCTGGATCGTTCCAGGGGGCAGTACTGCCCACTTCAGGAACCTATGTAGTATAGAACAATGAGCATGTTCTAAACAATTCCTGATGAACTTGTTTAATGTATAATTAAAGAGATAACTATCCCTATCATGAGCACTATAAATGGAAAACAGTAATCAATGACCCAACACAGCTTCATCAAAAATAGTCATGCCAAGTCAACTTCATTTTCTATTTTATAGTTACAAGACTTATAGACCATGGAATAAATGTCATAGATTCAATATAGCCTATACAGTATTTTAGCAAAACTCTAGCAGAATACCCTAGTGATCTGTCCTTGGCCCTGAGCTATTGAACAAAGGATCTGAATAAAGATATAGATAGCATGTTCATAAAATTTGCAATTCTCACAAAGTTAGTAGGGATAGCTGAGAAGTTAGATGACAACCTTGGGTCCAAGGATAAAGCAATGCAGATTAGAAGGAAAGTAGAAAGCTGGGAAAAAAATTTTTACAGCCAGTGTTTCTGATAAAGGCCTCATTTCTAAAATATATAGAGAACTGAGTGAAATTTATAAGAATACAAGTTATTCTCCAATTGATAAATGGTCAAAGGACATGAATAGGCAATTTTCAGAAGAAATTAAAGCTATCTATAGTCATGTGGAAAAATGCTCTAAATCACTATTGATCAGAGAAATACAAATTAAAACAACTCTGAAATACGACCTTGCACCTATCAGATTGGCTACTGTAAAAGCAAAGGGAAATGATAAATGTTGGAGAAGATGTGGGGAAACTAGGACACTAAAGCATTGTTAGTGAAGCTATGAACTTTTCCAGCCTTCCTGGGGAGCAATTTGGAACTGTGCCCAAAGGGCTATAAAATTGTGCATACCCTTTGATCCAGCAATACCACTTCTAGGTCTGTATCCCAAACAGATCATAAAAATGAGAAAAGGACTCACACATATACATGTACAAACATATTATACAGCAGCTCTTTTTGTGGTGGCAAAGAATTAGAAATTGAAGGGATGCCTAACAATTGGGGAATGACTGAACAAGTTGCTGTATATGAATGTAATAGAATACTACTGTTCCATGAGAAATGACAAGCAGGGAGACTTCAGAAAAACCTGGATAGACTTACATGAACTGATACTGAGTAAAGTGAGCAAGAACCAGGAGAACACTGTACACAGTAACAGCGACACTGTACAATGACTAACTTTGACAGACTTGGCTTTTCTCAGCAATGCAAGGATCTAAAACTCATGAGGAAAGATGCTATCCACATCCAGAAAAAGAACTATGGGGTC